CCCCCAAAACCCCAAAACCCCAAAACCCCTATTTAGCCCCTTCTGGTGAAAAATTATAATTAATAAAGATGTTTTGCTGTCTGAACCAGATCGCCTACTATGTAGGCTTGTTCGTGATTGGTCTCGTGGCCGTCAAGTTTGGATTCTATGTTCAGAGGAATTTCTTCAGGAAGGGGTATGATGTACATGAAAGATATGGAAAAGATTCTTGGATTCTGATCACAGGAGCCACAGCAGGAATTGGACTATCATTGGCAAAATACTCTGCTAAAGTTAAAGGTCTCAACGTTGTTCTGTTGGGTAGAAATCAAGAGAAGTTGGAGGAAGCTGAGAAGGAGGTTAAAGCAGCTAACCCAAAGATCAAGACCAAGACTTACAAGTTTGATTTCAACAATAACTCTGGGTATGAGTCATATCTCAAGATCTCTGAGGACTTAAGAGATTTGGACATCTCAATGTTGGTCAACAACGCTGGATATATGGACTTGAGACCAATTCTTACTCTGAAGGAAGAAGTAATGGAACAAGTTACTCAGACCAATATCAACGGACTGTCTTTGCTCACATTAATCTTCGCTAAGAGATTTGCAAAGAGAGACAAGAGAAGTGCTATCGTTAACGTAGCAAGTCAAGCAGGATATGCACCTTTGCCAGGAAACGCTCATTATGGAGCAAGTAAAGCATTTGTAAGGAGCTTGACTAAGGCAGTTGGGTATGAGCTAAGAGATAAACTAGATATGCTATGCTTCTCTCCAGGATTTGTAACCACTGCAATGACCATTAATAAAACCGGGCCTGATGTAGTTACTTCAGATGATTGTTGTCACTGTATTTTCAGAGATCTTGGATATGAGACCGAGAATCAACCAAGCACTTTACATGAATTTGTAGTCTTCCTAGTAAGCCCAGTCTTGCTCATCAATGAGAATCTGCCGAATCTCGTACTTTCCCCAATGATGGGCCAAGAGTTCAAAAGAATGGAGGATCTTAGAAACAAAGAGAAGTAAATAGGTTCTTAAATTGATGTCATTCCTTTACTTTAGTAATTTCAATGCAAAATTATAATTTTGGGGTTTTGGGGTTTTGGGGTTTTGGGGTTTTGGGG